TGCTAAATTAACAATTAAACGATAAATATTAAATTTTATTATACATATCCTTTAAGGTTTTCTATTCCTGGTAGATGCACTTGAGTGCATTTTGTATTTCATAGAATGCACTGTGGTGCATTAATACTGTATATATTAGTTATTCTTGGTATGGAGATAGCTGTTTATTCAACTTCGATTGGTTCTTTGTCATACTTACAGCAATCTGTAGGTATGCTATGTGAAAACGTGTACAAACTATTAATATTATATATCCATTATAAGATGGTTCAACTGAATGGCTAGAATGTTCTTTCACCAATAAAAAATGTTTCACTTGACAATTACTCATTTTCCCACATTTTATGCTATTGACTACTAAAGAAAACCTGAATCTTTTCACCTATTTATACAAGGATTAAATACAAACTATCAGAATTAATAAGCAACTATATAATTCTGTCCACAGTGAAAACCCTGAATAAAACTTTTTCAAAAGGCATGTAAGTGGTTTTTGAACTGTAAAATTTATGTCTCCTGTCAGAGTGAGCATTTGTAATTTCCACATGTGTGTATGTAGACACACAAATACACACCTGTGCACACACACGCAAACACACACACGCACACCAATATTTTCCTAAAAAGTAATCTACACAGGCTTGCTGCTGGCTTTGCAGCTGCCAGTCCCTGAATCTGTCATATTATATAACCCAGTGTCTGGTAATCGTAGTTTCTTCTTCGGAGGAGTCTTCAGTGTTCCAGATCTTTCCTTTACCTTGTATTCTAAAGTGCTGTGGGGTACCCCATAAATTCCTTGTGCTTTGGAAACACTCATTTTCCCACTCATGACCATTGCAATCGCCTCTTCCATGATTTCATGATCATACTGCCGATAGCGGCCCCGTTTTTTCCTGGGCTGCTTGTTATCTTTTCTATCCAATCCATCTTCAGTATTTTCAGAGGTTCCATCAATCGTTCCATTTTTAGAATTAAGACACAAAGGAGAGAGGTCCCCATGTAGAAAGTAAGAGTCAACACTTGAGTGAGTTACAGGCCCAGAACATTCTATTTTGTTCTGTTTAGGGAGTATATTTTTCAGTTTTTGGAGAGCTGATCCTTCTAGGACTGAAGAGGTTTTGGAAACTTGATACATAACATCCAGCAGACCAGAACCATCAGGTTGTGATTTTGAAACTGAATTTACTCGTAGCTGTGGAATTTTTAACTGTACAGTAGGGTTTGAAGTTTCATACTGAAGGCTTTCATTTTTTTCTTTAAACTGAGTAACCATTTTCTGTAGAGTTAACTGATGGAGGTAACTGGAAGCTGTTGGGAATTTTAATTCTGAGGTTTCAAGTAGGTTGAGTTTACTTTTTTCTGTGCGCTCTGCTTGAGCTCTTGCCCACAAGGCTACTTTTTGCAGCACTGCACAAGTTTCTTTACTGTCTTTATATGAGTAACTATCATTGAAATCTCGAGTTTTGTTTTTAAAACATGCAGGCTTCCCTGCTGGTAAGGCTTCTAAGTGGAGAAGTAAAGTTTTTTGAGGTATGCCATAAAGTATGCCTGCTTTATTTATGTCCAGTGCTCCAGACTGAATGTCTTTCAAAGCTTTTGAGAGCAAACCATCTGCAAACTCAGCACTTCTTTCCACATAGTCCTCTCTGTTTCTGTGTAGTCTCCTGGATGGATGGAATGAAACGATGGTAAACTGATGTATGAGAGACTCTCACACAGCTATGGAAGGGGAGGGTCCACTCCTTTATTACACTCCTTGCTTAGGTAACATCACAGCTAATGACACTTTAAGTCTGTGAGATGTAGAGCTACTCCTTATCAAAGCAAACGCTAAAGTCCTGCTAGGACAATGTGTCAATGATACGGTGGCCTCAATGGGCAGACCTTCCAAGAACATAAAATCCTAACTCAGTATTTGTAATAATATTCTCATGATGTTGCTTTTCCTCTGAAAGCTGCTTGCAGAGCAACACATAATTTTTACTGTACAATTAGAATTCCATTAAAAAAGTTCCCCAATCCTAAAGGAGTTTTTGTTAGTAGAAACGTGACGTTACCGCTAAACAAGTAATAAAAGAGTCAACCCATTTAAAGGAAATTTGTAGTAGCAAGAATATTTCCAAACACAAACATCTCATAGTTCCACAGACCAATTTTCCACTAGATATAAAATTTAAATTGGAAAAAATCTATATATGAATAATTTCATTTTAGATACGTTATTTCTGTTTCAAATACATCTTTGTAACCTTCAATGTTTGCTATACCTTATGACTCAAGCACTACTACAGCCTTAGTTAAAACAATTACATCTCATTTAATTGGGACAAAAAGATTTATATGCAGCTAATGAGAAGATGTAAAACACCAAAAAAAAAAATTTCCAAAAATCCAACAGAACAGCATTTCACTAGTAATTATTTAAATTAATTTAGTGACAATTTTAAAATAAGAAAGGACTTTTGTGGTGATCACTAGCTATAGTAAACTGTTTGCCACCACGTGTAAAGAATCATGAACAACTCTACATATGCGAGCTTTAGAATTAGTATAGCACTTTTAGAAATTGTTCATTATTTTAAAAATAATTAAGTATTAGAATGACATATTTCCCTTATAAATTGCCTCTTGAGTATTTAAAGTTCTCTCACTTGTCCTGCTTCTTAGTTTGGATTCTATGATTGAATTGGTAGTTCATTTTAGTAACACGAATTGAAGTTTGGTGATTGTTCTGATAACTTTTCTTTAACAGAAAAGAACAAAGGAAGAGAAGGGACAAATGAAAGTATGAGACACACTTATGAGACACGCATTCTGAAGGAAACTAAGTATGTAGTATCGCACAGCACAGCACTAAAAGTTCTCTACAAAGATCATTTTACATTAACATATACTTTAATTGTATTGCCCAGATATTGCTTACCCAGCCACTGAATTTCCAGAAGGAGGATCACATCTGGATGACTCTTCAGATTTTATGTTGGCTTTCTTTGTAGAGAGATCTAACACTCCATCCCCTATAATTTTTGCAAGAGAAAAAAACTTTATATTTGCAAGACAATAATAATCCTTACATTTCCACATTTTGCTGATGTACTGATGATTTAAAATTGACACTTATTTGACCTGGTTTTAGGAACAGGACATGATGTGGAAGGCACTACAAAGGAAAAATGGCAAAGGAGAGGTGGTATTGCCAGGTGAATTTAAAGAAATGAACCGACTATATGATTGGTTTAAAACCAACTCTTTGTTGCTTCTCTCACCACTTTACAGTGATAAGCCAACTTGGTGACTCAGTCATGACTGTTTCCTTCAAGGCTATGGCAGAAACTTGGAGAAATTCGGAGAAATTTGGAGCAATGCCAGAAGAAACACAATAGGAAGTGTTAATAATGAGTAACACCAAATAATTAGCATTTACTAGAACTACTTAACTGTTGACTCTGTATAACCAATTTATTATCTATAACTCACTGCCAAATCCATTTTAAATTATTGAAATGTATAATAATTGAGTCTTTGCCTATGGAATACATTATGTTATTTCTAAGACTAGACAAAGACACAATTTGAAGTAACTAGGAAAAATAACCTGTTATAAAGGTGTTCCAGTATGTTATTAAAAATGAAGTCATTACTGTAATAGTACTGAATTTTCATAGGGAAAACTTAAATGATTCAGATATTATTAATCAGAAAAGGATCAGAATAGAATAGAGTATTAATTAAAGTCCAAAACAAATAATATATCTTTACCGTATCAATTCACATATATAGTTAAGTGCCCAGGGAGATAGAAAGATGAAAAAATAAAACATCCTACCCACAAACTCCTACGTAGAATTAAATAATCACATACTGAGTGCTACTACATACAAAGCAATGCTTTAGGAGAGCAGTAGTTAAAAAGTACCTATTCTCATGATGCTTAGGATCTAGTGGGATAATTTACATAATGCCACCACCAATAATGACAATGCTGCTCATGAAAAGAAACAGTGCAGATACAGAGTGAAGACAGGGGTGGGGGCTGAAACACACAGTTTTTGTTTTGTTTTGTTTTTTTGAGACAGGGTCTTTCTTTAGCCCCAGCTAGCCTGGAACTTGCTGTTGCCCAGGCTGGCCTAGCTTTCACAGACATCCTCCTGCCTCTGCCAACACATTTTTGTTTTTTTGTTTTTTGTTTGTTTTTTAAACATGGTCTCCCTACAGCTCTAGCTGGCCTGGAACTCACTATGTAGACCAGGCTGGCCTTGAACTCACAGAGATCTGCCTGCCTCTGCCTCCTGAACGCATAGTTTAATTTTAAAGTAAGGATTCATTACATAGCAAAAACTGGCCTAGAATTTACTATTTAGCCCAGGTTGGTCTTGAACTTTGGGATCGTCTTGTCGTAGCCTTCTAAGTGCTATGGTTATAGGCGTTCACAACCACATGCAGCCTAAGATGTCTTTTTATGTTATTAGTATTCCTATACTAATTATTTAATGTTATCCAATAGGATCTTGGACAAGATGAGAGTTAACAAAGCAAATATATTGGCGAGTGCTCTAGGTGGAGCAGCTTGTAGGGGGGCCTGTCATATGGAATTGTCTGGAATTTTGGAAGAACAGCAGAGGCTATGATGGTTAGGATAAAGTAAGTGGGCTAAGTGAAGAAGGATCAGAAATGTAACAAGAAAAAACAAAGGAAAACAAAAAAGAAATGTAGCCAGAGGTCATGCAGGGTCACTAGCGTGCTAGCTACAATGCTGAATCTTATTTTGAAGGAGACAGGAAGTCAGTCAAAAGACTGACAGAATTTCATAGTTATAAAGGGTCAATTGCTGTGCGTAGAGTGTGGCCTGCAAGGGCCTGAGGAGCAGGGATGTCTATGTGGAAAGACAATGGTTCTGTACCACTTCTCATCTCTGGGATGCCACACTCTGGTTGTTTTCCTCTGCCTGCAACAGTCCTGCTCTTCTGAGCTAGATACTCATTTTGATTCTCATCATGCTGACTAATCGATCAGTCATTCAGGACACAACATTGTTATCATCATAGGTTCCTAACTCAGCAACGTTCATATGTATTATTACCACTTAGCAGGCTGTATTCCAGTTACCATGGGAAGAAAGTGGGTATGTCAATTTTGTACACTGATACATCACATCTGTCTGAAACATGCCTGGCACAAGTGGTCAGTAAATATTTGGTAAATAAAAAATTGAAGAACTAGAAGACATTTAGTATTGGTAAAAGGTTAAAGTACTTAGATTAGAAGGATTAAAAAAAGAAAGGTAAATAAAGTACCTGGTACATAAAAATTGTTAATGTAAGTATCCTATCCCAGCTTATTCATCCAGCCTAATTTTATGCTTCTTTTAATCCCAAACTGTACATTCTCATGCATCTAACCACTGTAGTTAGTTCCTAAAAAATGCTATGTGATGTCACATCTCTCAAGTTGCAGTAGCTCATTCCCACTTTTTACTTGTTCAACTTGCCAAGGAGCTACCCATCCTTAAAGATCCAGATTCCTGTAGGCAAAAGTCTATCCGCTCAGGCCAACAGCATCCTGTGACATAATACTGTTATGTACTTACTGATTTATGTTTTTACCCTCCCGTGAGCTAGGATTCTAGGAAACTTAACTAATTCATTTATATTTCATTAAAAATTAAAGAACCTAAGAAAGTAAGGAAAAATATTGTGTTCTCTGTGTCTCACTATCTCATTTCTGTTCATCATAAATTGAAATTTTACTATTTCAAGAACACAGGAACATCTTCTTCAGGAAATGATTACTGCCTAATCCTTCTCTAAGTTTATGTTTTAGTGTGAAAAACTACAGTATGTAGAACACATTTTTCTAATTTGTAGTCAAATTCTGTAATTTGTAGTCAAAGCTTCAGAATAAATTAATGAAACTCTAATTTTAAATTCTTTCTGACTTTTAACATGCTTAATTAAAATGAAAATATTTCACAAAATAGAAACATCTCTCTTTTATAGAACAACGAAGAGGCTATAACACTGCAAAGAGGGCAATAAAGATTTCTTGTTGTTTTTCAATCACTTCCACATAAAGAAATTAAAATTATACTCACTTTTAAACTGGAAGTACATGTAAGTCTTATTTTATTATTTAAGAGATCTGCCCAGATCAGGCCTATTAATTCCTGATTCTTTCATTTTAGAAGTTTAAACAATGATCCTAGCAATCAATACTTTTATCCCTTCTCCATATCTAAAATGACAGTATTATACATTATTAAGAGTCTGGTTCACAAAGGATTTGATAAGGTAACATGTTATAGTCTGTACTTAATGAAAATGAAAACATCTAACATTTTCTGTTACATCACTAAAAATTTTTAATGAACATTTACACAGTAAACACAACATCCTATGTATGAGTATTAAAGATTTTTAAATTTTAGTAATCCACAGAAAATATCTTATTTTCTTTGTGTTACCATTTATACTAAAGCATTTTGTATTATTATGGTTTCTTTTCCTACTAATAAGCTGGTAGCTCAGGAGCTGAATAAAACAAGTCACCCTGGGGCTGGACAGATGGCTGTGGTTAAGAACACTGGTTGTTCTTTCAGAAGATCCGGGTTCGAACCCCAGCACCCACATGGCAGCTAACAACTGTCCGTAACTCCAGTCCCAGGGGATCCGACAGCCTCTTCTGTCCTCTGTGGGCATTGCATGACAGTGGAGGCAGGGGAATGGGAACCTACTTCATGGAAGCGTTTGTAGGGACAGTGTGGGTGAGGAGGGACAAGGTGTGGTTGGAGGACAGAGGAAGGCAGCATTCATTCAAAAAAGGTATTAAGGGGCAGGAAAGATGGCTTAGCAGTTAAGAATGTTGGCTGCTCTTGCAGAGGACTCTAAGTTTGGCCCCCAACACCTACATGGCAGCTCACAACCATTCTTAATTCCAATTCCAGGAAATCTGTTGCCTTCTTCTGGCCTCTGTGGGCATTGCACACACGGGTGCACATACATGCAGACAATACACGCATACACATAAAATAAAAATAAAAAAATTTAAAAACAAACAAACAAACAAACAAACAAAAAGTCACCCTTAGGATTGTCTGAATTGGAAAAGAAAAAGGCAGTAAGAGAAGCAGGGGAGGAGAGCCGGAATGGGAAGAAGAAAGACGAGGACTGGATGAGGCAAGGAGGGCTCTCTTGTTCCTGCTAACAGGTATTTCATCAGGAGCTGATTCTTCCCACTGCCATTACTCTCTTGCATGTACATATTTCCAAAGTACTGCTAATAAATTCAGCAGACAAAAATCAACAGCTCACTATGCTCTTATGATATAAAGAAAAGAAGAGGTAAGAATTCAATTTTACCACTGATTTCTCTTATTCTAATGTATTTTTTTTTATTCACTTATTATTAGGCATCAGGTTTTGTTTTCGTTACTGGAAACAATGCCGAAGCAAACCCCTTTCTAAATGCTTTCTTGTGTTCCTGTTACAAGGTGTAACTTATACACCTACAACTTAAACTGCTAGACATTATAGTATGTACATTTTCAACAGACTTCCATAATTAAACAAAATATTTAGCACTTCACTTACATTTAAAAAACAGAAAACTACTTTCCATATAAATATGTAAATTGATAATATCAGCAATTGGTGTCAAGGACAAAGGATAGAGAGATCTTAAGCCTGATGGGTCTTAGAGAATGCTTTTCAACTGCCTTGTTTTGTTTATTCTTGGCCCTTTAAGACTTACTTATAAATGTTAATATCAACACATCATCTCACTTTACTTAACAATAAACTCCAGTAAAATTCTGACTGGAAAACAAATTAGAAGTACGTAATATTCAATAGTACATGAATTAATTTCAAATAACTAGTACATGATTATTATGCTATATTTTTCTGTATGTTTAAAAACTACCCTAATAGCCTGGGATGGTGGCATGTGCATTTAATTCCAGCACTTGGGAGGCAAAAGCAGGTAGATCTCTGTGAGATCAAGGCCAGCCTGTCAAGCTGCA